GAGAAATTACTTTGATGTATATATCTCTTACCAAGTGAAGACATTCGTTAAAGAAAAAAAGGAAAAGCAAAAACAAAAGAAAATGAAAAAAAAATTGACATGTTTCCTCCAATGTTGACAATACTTTTTTCATTTGATTCTTTACTAAATATTTGCTAATAAAAATGATGAGAGTAGACAAATGATAATATATTTGTAAAATAATGGAAAGCCTTTTTGGGATTTTTTTAAATAATGTTTTTATTTAAACTTATTTTTAAAATAATGCTACATTAAATAAAATTAAAGAAAAAAATACTTCTTTTGAAAGTTATTCCAAAAACAATGCCTTTGGAATTAGTCCCTCGCTTGGCCGTTCCCATGACACTTTTAGTAGTTGGTCGTCTCAGACGACCATAAGGACGTGGCGCTTTATTGGCGCCACGTCTAATTTTTTAAAAAAATCAAGACATGGTTGTCTCTTGTTGGTCACGGTCGTTTCTTCACGGGGCGAATTGGATTTTTAGGAAATAATAAATATTATTATTTATTATATATTAAAAAGTAGATATTTGTTTAGGATACTAATTAGTGGCGCAGTGGATGACTCGAAAAACATCAGATCTCGAGAAGAGTTGAAGATGGTGCAAGATCGAATCCTTTTACCTTACTTCGAATGGAAGCTTAGCTCGCCTCACTTGCTTTCTTTACTGCATAAGGGCATAAACGAAGTCAACGAATTTCCTTCTAACTAGCGGCTGAGAGTAAGCAAGCTACCTTCATTCAACAGATTTGTGGTTGAGTTAATAACATGCTCTGGGTCGGGAATCTTTGCTCTTCTCTTTTGCATTTCCGCTTCCTGCGTTCTTTTTCTCGACTAATTTCAGTCTTTCAGTAGTGAAACACGATTTTAGTATTCAATCTATCCCTTTCATTCTGGAGTTCAGGACTGATTTTCTATGGTCTCTTTTCCTTAAACTTCAGCTCTCTTCTAGGGAATTTTTTCTTTTTGGTCTAGTAACAAGTCTCGATAAGCTGTCGCAATCAGGCAATTCGTTAAAAGAGATATCTGATAATAATAATAAATTGATCAACATTAAAACCGTAATAAGAAATGAGAAACACATCAATCAAAGCTTGAACATTAGAATTCTTGAATATAAGGTGAGTACAAAACCACTACACGATAGCTGACTTTAACTAAAAAGATGATTATATACAATAATTAAGGTGATTACACATCCAATACAAACTATAATAAATATGTATGTATATATATATATATATATTATACACAATTTATTAAAAATAATATAAATAATATAAAAATATAATGATATAAAAATAAATAATAATTATAATTACTCAAAAAAAATAATAAGTAAAGTGTTGATTAACAGTAAAAAGAAAAAAGAAAGGCATTTGCAATTTATTAAAAATAATATTTTTTTAAATATATTAAAATATAAATAATAAACAATCATAATATCTAAAATATAATAATTATAATAATGTATTATTGTATTGTTTTAAAATAATAATAACAATAATAACTAAAAAGTTGATTAATAGTAAAAGAAATATAATAATAATAATAATGTATTGTTGTATTCTTTTAAAATAATAATAATAATAATAAGTAAAAAAAATGATTAATAGTAAAAGAAAAGAACCTGGGTTCGAACCCATAAAGAGAAAAAAGAAAATTGCACCATCATCCACTGCACCACTAATTGCTATCACATATAAATCTTTACTTTTTAAATATAATATATAATAATATTTATTATTTTCTTAAAAATCCAAGTCATCCCATGAAGAAACGACCGTGAAATGCGGTCCAACACATGGTTGTCTCTTCGAGAGACGACCATGTCTTGATTTTTTTTTTAAAAAATCAGACGTGGCGCCAATAAAGCATCACGTCCTTATGGTCGTCTCTTACTAAAAGTGGCATGGTCTCGACGACCAAATGGGGAAATAATTCCAAAGGTATTATTTTTTGAATAAGTTTCAAAATAAGCATTTTTTCTTTAATCTTATTTAATGCAACATTATTTTAAAAGTAAGTTTAAATAAAAACGTTATTAAAAAAAATCTAGACTTTTTGTTCTCTCAAATGTATCCACATTATTTGCATCACTATTTTTCAAAAAAATAAATCATGTTCATATCATGGTTAAAATAAATAAATAAAAATAAAAATCATGCATACATATTGCATTCGTCTAGTTTTATCATGCATGTGCATCATTATATCATGCATTCATTGTTTAAATCAAGGGAACAGAAGAAGAACATTTTATACATTTCTCAATTACATTCTCACTTTGCAAAGTTAATAAAAAAAATCTTTGCTTATCATTCATGACATGAGGGGAATGCACATTTACAAATTCACACATCATTCTTGTAAACGTCATTTACATGATAAGTAATGCATACTACCTTTGGAAATTTTCATTTGCATAAACATGCGGTTTGTGTTAGTCTTATCATCATGCGTAAAGTGCACATCTCATGTATTTAGGCATGTTTAGGACGATTTCTAAACCATGCACTTAGGTAAAGAACTTCCTAATAAATCA